AGAGAGGAGTGGAGAGGATTCATAGTCCGAAACAAGCGGATCAGGCAAAAATCCACAAGAAGAATGCTAACTTTTTGGAAAAATGCAAATTAAGCAATCCACATTTTACTTTGGAATATTGTTGACTATTTTTAGAGTAGTCTATTTTTTTTATGTGTTTCTGCTGCTATTGGACACCTGAATTTCTACTATGGGGATCAATAAAGTATCTGTCTATCCATCTCTCTCTGGTGTCTCTCTGGTCTCAATCTGGTCTCTCTCTGGTCTCAATCTGGTCTCTCTCTGGTCTTAATCTGGTCTCTCTCTGGTCTCAATCTGGTCTCTCTCTGGTCTCTCTCTGGTGTCTCTCCCTGATCTCTCTCTCTGTTCTCTCTGTCTCCGGTCTCTCTCTGGTCTCTCTGTGTCTCGCTAGTCTCTCTCTCTGGAGGAAACCTAAACAGACACGGGGAGAATATGCAAACTCCGAACTGTTGGACTATTTTCAATGAATGCATCAAATAAATTCACAGACTATAAAGAAATATGTTGTAATTTACCGTAAAGCAGACTTTTCAAGAGCTGATGACACCAATGGGAGGTCAGAACATCTAACAGTCACAAACTAGGAATTTGCTCAAGATGCAAACAAGTTATAAGAGTGAAGTGAAAATAGGACAAAAGAAATTCCTTCTACCAACAGAAAAGGAACAGACCCATTCACTTACACAATCATACACCAATATCTGAACATAGTAAAGTGCTTTAGGTGACCTTGGTCTGTACAACGCGCTATATAAATAAAGATTACTTGCTTACTTATTTCTTACTTACTATATACCAGTATAGAAGGCACAAGCACCTAGGTCTCTTGCTCAAGGACACATCACCAGTATTCACCAATGGGAGCAGCCATCCTGTGGGTCGTACAATCTCAATTCAATTTATTTTTGTACAGCCCTAAATTACAGCAGTAGTTATCTCAGAGGACTTCACAAAACTGAGTTCAAACACAGGAAATGCAATGACAACAAACACACAGAGCCGTTGGTCCATAAAGGGCTCAGGCCAATGTCCATAAATGTGTTTCAACGTCGACATTCTAAACCACTCAAAACAATGATGTTTATGTCAGAAGCAGGATTCAAACCACCAACCTTCAAACTCCACCAACTCAGACTAACTTTGATACCAAACAGTTTCAAGTGTTCACCCTTGTAGGTTTGGCTCATAGACTTTATATATTAACGGACAGAGTCACGCCTATCTCCACCAATCTAACTAATGGGCCAAAAATAATGCTCTACTGGAGCTATCCAAATTGGCCGCGAGTGGTCCCGCCCACAAGAAAATTGGGAAGAAACGCATCTGCGCATGCGTCAGCCGGCGAGAGCTCCATTCATTTGAACGAGAGATTTCAAAAATTCTCAGCAAGTAAACTAGAGTGGTCCAAAAAAATCCACCCCCTCAGCATTGACACACTTGTGGAACGGAGCTTTGGGCCAAGAGCCAACTTTTGGTCCATCCTGTAAAGACGTTTTTGAGAGGTCTGCCGATGCTATATGTTAGCATTGGCTAATTCTTCTTCTGGGTCCACCCCCATCGGCCCGGGGTGGTATTGCAAGCATGTCAGCGCACGTCATTTTGGCCAGTTTTGAGCCGGGACCCTCCCCCACTGGTTTGGCCACTGTCACATCTTCAGATCAGCTTTTTCAATGACACAGAAAGGACCCCCCTCATTCAGCCAATCAGGTTGTGTGTATCATATAATAAACATATTCTAGACACCAGAGCTAATCTATTAATAAGAACGACTTCTCATTTTGAAATATGTAAATAAAGCTATATGTCCGCTGTGCTGTGTTGTCTTTGAGCCAAAAGCATTAAATGCACATGGAAAATTTGATATGAATTGTACAACTCAAGCCACATCATGAGGGCCAAAAGAACATAGTTAGAAGGCCCCATGAAGCCCAGGGGCCGTGATTTGGAAAGGCCAGTTTTTAACCAATGACCTAATGAGGCAACTGGAAAATAATGATCTTTTAGCACAGTTTGACAATTAGCACTAATGCCTTGCTGTCTCTTTAAGACTCTGCAGGGATCCAATATGTCTGCTCATTCACGCTAGCTGCCAGCCTGGGCTCGTGCTGAATACAGGCTAAAGCTAACAATACCCATATATATGATCCATGAGTCCAGGAAACATGACTGGTGTTCTGATCTGCCGGTTTTAAACAAAGTGACATATATAGAGGCAAATGTAAAATAATGACCCTGCCTTATAGCCACAGAGCTGGTTTTAGGTTTTAGGACATGTCATTTCAGTGAATTACATTTTCTGAAATCCATACAGCCTCATAAGCCCTGTTTCCACCAGCTCTACTCTACCCTACACCTACTCTACTCTACCCTACCATACTCTACTCTGCTCTAACTTACTCTACTCTACTGTGCTCTACCTTTCTCTACTCTACTCTACCTGGTGTTTTCATCATATTCTAGTATGGTTCATGGATCTATTATAATAACTGGATAGGGTATTGCTAGTTTATAGCTGAAGAACTCACGAGCTCCGGGGATTCTCGTGGTACTGCAGACTAAACAAGACTAAATTACTACCAGAAACTACCCAGAAATTTTCCCCATAGAACTCAATGTAAATTAAAACAGCGCAACCTCAGCTGACAGAGAAACTACAGCTTTCATAAAGATCGGATTTTGTGGGGATTTAAGTGTCCCTTACCATCCTGAACTTTTTTTCTTCTTAAATCCTTCAGTTTTCTTTAAATCCACACTTTAGTGCCACAAACTCGGCCCGTCTGGCTCTCGCTCTAACTCCCGCTCTGATGAACACCATGTGAGACCCACACATGCGTATTTGGCGCAACGCATCATGGGAGATAGCGCAACGCATCATGGGAGTTCATCCACTGGATCTTTGCGAGTTTCAGACGACTTCCGCTAATCCCATCAGCGCCCATGCCGGCACAAAGCGCCAGTGAGCACAACCATTCATTAGAATACGGCGCCATCTTGGATCGCCGGGGCTTGATCTGGTTCCATATCCTAGCAATTGACCCACACAAACTTGTATCCAAGGGAATTCCTTGGTAACCATGGCTTCCAGCAGAAATCACTGTCAGTTAGAACACTTTAATACCAGTTTGGCCTGGATAGAACCAGGACCAAGCAGGTGCTAAAAAAAAGTTCCTGGTACTGGTACAGGGCCAGTAGAAATGCTCCCAATCGAGCTAGACTTCAGGGCTGTTGAACTTTTTCCACCAGCCACACGTGCGGCAACCAATCAGAGAGCTCCAAAGTGGTCATGGGGACACTAGCGGCCAGAGCGAAAAGACTGAAGATACTCGTAAGCAGCCAAAACAGGAGATAAACCAGGACGAAACCAGGACTAAACCAGGACTGACAATGGGGGTTAGTGCTTGTGAACATAATGCCTCCAGCCTGAGTTTTCATTCTCCCATGACTGTAAACAAGTACGGCTAATGTGTTCGCCAAAGCGTAAGTACTGTTTCATAATAAAATTAACTTATGCCAGACCTCCGTGAACACATACTGCTGTTATATAAAGTCTCTGGTAGGTCTCTGGACACAGAGGCGCTGCAGAGCAGCATTTTTGGAAAAGAACTTTGGACACAGAGGCGCTGCAGAGCAGCATTTTTGGAAAAGAACTTTACACAAAAAGCCGCTAGCTTAACCCCGTTCGCATCAAAGCCCACCTGCCACTTCCACCTTTCGCCACCGCAGGGCTGTACTTCATCCTGCGTCTGAAATGTAGTGAATGTGCGTCTAGTGCGCATGGAAGCTGCGTTCAAGCGTAGACGGTCTGAACGCCCCATAACTCATTCACAAACACTCACTCACTCACCCTGAACTATTGCAAAGGTTTTTCATGTTTTTAGTATTAGAGAAAACTGAGCTGAGGGTTAGACTTACCACAGACCTATTGTTTAGTTAGGTGTGGGGCTAGTTTATTCAAGCATGTGCTTGAAATAAACTAACAAATGAAAAAAGTGTACATTGTAAACAAAAAAAACAAAACAGCGGTCGTAAGAACACAGCTACTTGAAAAGGGGTGGATGAAGTCAAACACATTGATTCTCACCCCCTCAAGAGCCAAGGTACGAATATAGTTATTCTTTACCCCGAAGCAATGGGCTCTATGCACGCGCCACTTCCACGTTTTAGTTATAGCGAAACTTGACCTCCGGTGTGCAGGGATCGGCTTGAGTTTCACTGGAGTTTACCAGATGTTTACACAAGTTTCCTAAATAAAGCTCAAACAGGAATTAAACTGTGAGGATGCTGGACATTTTTTGGACACAGCAGTGCTCTTTGATTGTGCTGTCATTGTGCTTTTATAAAGATAACTAATCTCTCTGAGTGGCCACAGTCAAAGCTATTTCTCAAAGAGAAAGCACGTTGACACTTATGGGTCAGTCTCACAGCTGAATGTATCGATCTAATTACTAACAAAACGTCACTACAACTCACCACAAAGCCATAGCGATAGCATAGATAGGAAGTAAATGAGCCGTTCTTTGTTTACAGAAAACTACGTCACGCCTCCTGTACATATAGCCCATTAGGCCTCATAGAAAAGGGAAATTTTACTTCCGGGTTCTGAAGCTCCGCCCAATCCTCCATTTTCCCAACACTAAAGGCGGCCAAGAAAAAAAACTCACGAGGACCGTATTTTGCCCTGGGGCCGTAGTTTGGACATACCTGTTTTGGACCACAAAAGTGAAGAACAGTGAGGCAAATATAACATAATGATCTGTGAATAATATTACCAGTCAAAAGCAGATACATAACCCGATATAAACGCATAAAACCGCCTCGCAGCTTCACAGGACACTGTCTCTTTAAGACTACGCAGGGCTCGGTTCGTATTGATCAATCCTCCATTTTCCACCAGCGGCGGCGGTGGATTCAGAGGTTCCAGAGCAGAAGAGCCACGGAGCCCCTTATACCTGGAGAAAGAGCCGGGACATCGGGCAGACATGGCAGCCAACATGTACCGAGTCGGAGGTACGCTTTTCGGGACGTGTTTGTGTCGCCTCTCGCTTGCCGTAGCTTACATTGGTGGCCTTTTGCGGCTGATATTAGCGAGAGCAGTGTATTTACAAAGCGTGGTTCTAGCAGCAGCAGCGGTGGTCTCTTCCCTCGCTTTATTTCCTTCACTGATGATGATGATGATGATGATGTGATGAGGAGGAGGATGGATGGTTGGTGATGAAGAGGAGCGTGTAGCTTCAGTCTTCCTCTGTCGTGTTTTGCGCGGTTTAAACTTGATATTTCAGACTCAAAGTGCGCTCTGAGCGAACCTTATTATTGTTGTTATGTATAGAAACCAGGACGCACATATTCACAAAAGTTTGGGTGCACTTTTGCCTTTGCCTCCGCTCTTCTTCCTCCCCCCGAAGCTTTGTAAAGTGGGAAACATTTCAAAGCTCGCATGGACTTATAAAAGGTTAAAGCTGGGGTACCTAAAATCTTATGCATTGTTTGTCACAACAGAAAGAGTCTTATAAAAGTAAATCGCCACGAACAGATCAATCCACACCATGCTGACTTGAATCTCATCAGAAAACATCTTTTGTTTACATGTAAGAAGAACCTCCTTTTGAGATGCTTTTGAGGTCAGAGCTGATTGGCTGAGTGAGGGGGGTCCTCTCATTTTCAATTAAATTTTTTACAGCACTAAATAACACCAACAGTCGTCTTGAAGGACATTCAAAAGTTGTTGATTCACCAACAACAGATCAGCGAATCAATATAACAATAACAATAACAAACACATAGAGACTTCCACGAGGCTGTAGATCCAGGACTCGGGATGACATGATCTTAAAGATGCATGTGATAGAACCAAAGCCTGGAATCTGCTAAGTGTATGTACCCCACCTTTAATAAGAGCAGTCCTTTGTTATTATACTGCTATAATGTAAAACACATATTGTGAGGATCTTACCCGGTATGTTTGTATTGGTATGTGCTATACGTCAGAATGTACTTTTGAAATAACTTATTTTTTGTTTGAGAGATGTCTGTAGTAAATTACTATCACCTGCATCCCTTTCATGTTTGCAGAGGTCTGAACTGTAATGTTTCCTGATATAGAACTGAAGTCTTTTCAAAGTTGATGCTTTTGTTTCTCTGTGATAGTGATAGTTTAGGAACATGTGTCCAGTCGCTATGAACCTTTTATTGGTCCTGGAGAAGTCCCTGATCTGTATGTTTCTTTGTGAATGGTTTTTCTTTATGCTTTGGTTTTAACTTTGTATAGCCTTGGATCCTAGATCAGGTTACATGTTATGTCATTTCAAAATATCTCTCAGTGTGACTTTATCCACTTTTTCTGCCATATTTTTAAATAACTTTAGACTTTATAAAATGTATTTTGCTGGGTTGAAAGATTTTTAGGAAACCCAGCTTACATAGCATCTGCCACAAACCGGCTGAATTTACTACTTCTTCACTTCACAAACTTTCAGACATACAATGCAGTATTTTTGTGTGGTATATGGTTGTAGTAACCGATGCAACAAGGAGAAAGCACTGTTAAATACATTTTAAATGCCAAAGGTTGCCTAAAATCCCAGTCTGAACGGGGCCTTTCGGAGTGGAGTTTGCACGTTCTCCCTGTGTCCGCATAGGTTTCCTCCGGGTGCTACGGTTTCCTCTACCGCCAATAAAACGTACAATAGGTCTGAATGGTGTGAGTGAATGGATGGTGACATGCTGTTGGTTAAGGGCTTTGAAACACCGGTCTGTTCAGCATCTCGTTTTCGTCATCACCGTGTGGAGAGAATGAAACAATATCTGAACTCTGAACATTGTAAAGCTCTTTGGGTGACCTTGGTCTGTAAAATGGGCCATATAAATAAACTTACTTACTTACTTGCCTAAACTAAGGTGTTCTTATAAAAGAACGAAATGCAGGCTGTAGAATCTATGTCTTCTCTCATAGAATCTAGCCATTGTGTTATCGTTATTTCCACAACTGAGACTGTTAGGACCAGGGTCTGATTTAGACCAATATTGATACCAAGTATTAGCTGTAGCTGTTCTACTGGGGTCAGTTCATCTAATTCGGTCACCGCTGTTTGAAGCTGAAAAAAATGATGCGAAGAACGCTGATATTTTGATACAATAGTTTTTGAAGTGATGCTAAGTTACCAGAAGTTTTTCAGATAAAAGTGAAATATGTAACTGCTTATTCCTAATTCCCCTGCACACTCTTCAATTCTATCATACTTTAAATATCTGTAGATACAGTGGGGCAAAAAAGTATTTAGTCAGCCAAGTTCTCCCACTTAAAAAGATGAGGGAGGCATGTAATTTTGATCATAGGTATACCTCAACTATGAGAGAAAGAATGAAGAAAAAAAATACAGAAAATCACATTTAAAGAATTTATTTGCAAATGATGGTGATAATAAGGATTGCTCACCCACAAACAAGCAAGATTTCTGGCTCTCACAGACCTGTGACTCCTGTAAGACGCTCCTCTGTCCTCCACTCGTTTTTAATGGCACCTGTTTGATCTTGTTATCAGTATGAATGACAGTCCACAACCTCAAACAGTCACACTCCAAACTCCATTATGGCCAAGACCAAAGAGTTGTCAAAGGACACCAGATACAAAATTGTAGACCTGCACCAGGCTGGGAAGACTGAATCTGCAATAGGTAAGCAGCTTGGTGTGATTAAATCAACAATGGGAACAATTGTTAGAAAGACAAGACAACTTAAAATCTCTCTCGATCTGGTGCTCCACAAAAAATCTCACCCCGTGGGGTTACAATGATCATGAGAACGATGAGCAAAAATCCCAGAACGTGAATGACCTGCAGAGAGCTGGGACCAATGTAACAAAGGCTACTCTTGGTAACGCACTATGCCACCAGGGACACAAATCTAGTGCCAGATGTGTCCAGGCCCGTCGGAAGTTTGCTAGAGAGCATTTGGATGATCCAGAAGAGGACTGAGAGAATGTCATATGGTCAGATGAAACCAAAATAGAACTGCGTTGCATCCAAAGAACGCCATACCTACTGTGAAGCATGGGGGTGGAAACCTCATGCTTTGGGGCTGTTTTTCTGCAAAGGGACCAGGACTACTGATTTGTCTAAAGGTAATAATGAATGGGGGCATGTACAGTGAGATTTTCAAGGAAATCCTCCTTCCATCAGCAAGGGCATTGAAGATGAAATGTGGCTGGGTTTTTCAGCATGACAATAATCCCATACACACCACCCGGTCAACGAAGAAGTGGCTCCTTAAAAAGCATTTCTAGGTTCTCGAGTAGCCTAGCCAGTCTCCAGATCTCAACCCCATAGAAAATCTTCGGGGGGAGTTGAAAGTCCATATTGCCCACCGACAAACTCAAAACCACACTGCTCTAGAGGAGATCTGCTTGGAGGAATGGGTCAAAATACCAGCAACAGTGTGTGAAAATCTTGAAGACTTACAGAAAACGTTTGAGCTCTGTCATTGCCAACAAAGGGTATTGAGATCTTATTAACCAAATGTTATTTTCTGGATTAAAAAAAAAAAATCATTCTGTCTCTCATAGTTGAGGTAAAACAATGATGAAAATTACAGGCCTTCCTCGTCTTTTTAAGTGAGTGAACATGCACAATTGGTGGCTGACTATATACCAATTTCCCCTGCTGTATATAGCCGCTTTTATATTTTTATAAGGATGTAACAATATCCAAATCCCATGCTACACTATCGATACTGATCCCTTGATAGGATATGTATTGCAAAATTGTAGAGAGGCTCACAGACTTTAATGTAGTTTAATATGCTTTGTCGCCATTTACTATTGTGGACTTTTGTTAACAAAAATAATAGACAGTGGTCGTCCTGCTCCCTATGAACCAATGGCTTCTGCGTTTGTTATGTTTAATTCTGAGGGCTAAACAAAAATGCATTGAATCGATCACTTAAAGTCAAGTCCTTAACATCCATAAATGGTTTGGTTACATTTGGTCAGAGACATCTTTTGTATTATGTGCGAAGTTAAATTTAAATAGTAACTGTGGAAAAAAATAAGGAAATAGAAAATCAGACATTATGTATTTGTGGTACATGTTTATGCACTTGTGACACGTGTGACAGAGTTAAAAGTCCCCCTGTAAAGATTAGAGCTAGAACTACTTATCTCCTGGACAAAAACCATGTGGAGTTTCATTTCAAACACTATCATTGGTCCTTAATAACCATCTGTTTCATGGATAATGTACATTTTAATCACTGTTTATTTTTATGCAATGTGTCAGAATAACAAATGATTCTTCTCCTACTAGTTTTATTATGCTTGATTAAAAAGAGTCACATTTAGAGGTAATGATCGCCATCCCTAAAACTAACGAGAACAGACTTGTGTCCAATGTCGGAGTAAACGTGTGTTTATCAGTTAAAATATTCACATACAAATATAAACTGTGAAAAGATATATAATACAATAACTTTATTAGTTCTTACTTTCTCCCCTTTATCTTCAATTAAATTTATTTTTGTCCCAAGCGCAACAGTAGTTATCTCAGTCCTGGATCTAAAACCGTAGTACTGGATCTAAAGCCTCAGTCCTAGATCTAAAGCCTCCGACAGCCTCAGTCCTGGATCGACAGCCTCAGTCCTGGATCGACAGCCTCCGACAGCCTCAGTCTTGGATCTACAGCCTCAGTCCTGGATCGACAGCCTCAGTCCTGGATCGACAGCCTCAGTCCTGGATCGACAGCCTCAGTCCTGGATCGACAGCCTCAGTCCTGGATCGACAGCCTCAGTCCTGGATCTACAGCCGCAGCCCATGGGAGTGGATGCCTCTCTCAATAAGGGCCTTCTCACTTTTTCCCCACTGTTTTTTTTTTTTGCTGATCCAGTAGACTGTGTTGGGCACGTTACTTTGAAAAAGTAATTAGTTATAGTTACTAGTTACTTCTCCCAAAAAGTAACTGAGTTACTTCACCATAAAAGTAACTAATTACCAGTAAAATTAACTATTGCATTACTTTTTC